TATTTTTATTTTTGTATTCCGTTTTACTATTTAATTATAAGCAGTATTATTATGTTTTATTTTATCCATCTATTTATTTATTTAAAACGTCTTCATTTAACTATTTTCTTTAAACTTTCAAGAACTTATTCACCTCTCTGATTTTCGCTCTTAATAAGGACAGCACTGTTAGATTTAAATTGTGGCTGAAAGTGTTTCTATATATTCTTATAATCTAGTCGCTACACCGCAACTATTCTGTATTGCACACAAACATTATCTGGGATGTTAAGGTTACAAGGTAGTGAAATGTGCATGGATCTTCAAGATTTGGTTAAACTTGAATATATTCCACAGCGGTTAGCATCAACATCGCTGGCATATCAGCATTTCTGAAGGTTGGCTCTACATCGAACACCAGCTGTTTGGAGCCGATATAGACAGGAGCAGAATGGTGAAGGTATTTGTAGGGCTGAGAGAGAGCCTGTGTTACACATTGTTAAGGTGGCCGCCCCACAAGGAAAGACAATGACTATGAACTGTGTTGTTCAGTGGGTATATATATATATATATATATATATATATATATATACCGTGTAACCTGGATATAAGAGACCCGGATATAAGAGAAACCCGGATATAAGAGCGATTTTCTCTGGTCCCAAATTAGAGCCTGTGTTAATGTATATAACATAGACCAAACACGGATATAAAAAAACCCGGATATAAGAGACTTCTTCTCCGGTCCCGACAACTCTCTTATATCCGGGTTACTCTGTATCTTTATCATATATATATATATATATATATATATATATATATATATATATATATATATATCAGATATATATATATCATATATATATATATATATATATATATATATATATATATATATATATATGAATAAAAATGACAATAGGAAAACTGGTAATTGCTGACGCGTTTCGTCCAATGTGGACTTTATCAAAGCAAAATACGAATTACCAGTTTTCCTATTGTCATTTTTATTCATAAATATTGTCTTCTCTACTGGTTAAATCGGAGAAATTTTCATATATATATATATATATATATATATATATATATATATATATATATATATATATCAACATATGGGAGTATATGTTACATAAAAATTCATCTAGTGCATCATATATATATATATATATATATATATATATATATATATATATATATATATATATATATTATATATATATATATAATATATCATCTAGTGCGTCAAATATATATATATATATAGATATCTGATGCACTAGATGATTATATATAAGATATATCTTACATAAAAATTCATCTAGTGCATCAGATATATATATATATATATATATCTGACGCACTAGATAAATTTTTATGCAAGATATACTTCATATGTTCAATTTTTGCCAATATCATGTAAGAAACATCTGGTACAGTTTATCATTTACATGTTTCAGATCACTATGTCGGTTGATGCTGTAGAATACATCGACTGGAGAGGGTAAGACCTTACTCCGATGATGGCATCTGTTTGCTGTTTATGGCGATAAATAACTGGAAACCGAGTAATGGTGTCTGAGTGTTCTTTGTACAATGTGAATAAGCGAACACGTATTTGTATTTGTAAGGAGATACAGGCGTGAAAAAAAGGATCAAGATTAAAAAAGGCGAAAATAAGATATGCAAATACTTATAGAGTTTGTGACAAAAATAGCCCTATCCATATAGACTTCCAACATTAAAATGTATTTCTGGGACGTGTACGTGGGATGTATTTCTGCAGCACCATATACAATGGCGTTCAACATGCCTATAATCCCACCAATAATAAAAATTGGTTATACTATAAAAATGGTAGAAGAATTTATGCCAAACCAGCACAGCATTTGTTCTTAGTTCGGTTAGCCGGACGATCGGAGAGGCCGGATCCGATTATTGGTCTAGTCACATCATACCTTAGGACTTTATATTTCCCCGATTGTTTATTGCATTTAAATTGATACATGTCACACAGTTATCAATACCCAACTCATCTAACCAATAAATGCTTGCAGGCAGTGTCAGTAGATCATGATAGCAATATGGCTGGGCACCTCTGACATTTCACTATATACGAGCAGAGAAATCGAATTAAGGCGGGCGTTTGCAGTTACTATCTTGTCGAGAAAACTACACCTATGGTATTGTTTTGTTAGGGTGAATGGGTTAGCTACGTTGTAATTCCAGTAGACATTAAGTCGAAGTGAACTCCGAGACGGATAGGAAGCAGCAACAGTGAAAAATCTTCCTCATAGCTCCAAAACATATACCAAAGATTACGTCAAGAATCAAGTTCAGAAAACTAACACGAAAAGAAAAATAATAGATTCTTAAGAAATATCGTTCTGGAAGCAAAAGATAATGTTTCATTGACAAACTTGGCCCCTTATATAATAGAAAACGTTATTTCGGTAAATCTAACACCAAAAATCGTAAAAAAGCTAAAAGAAATGGTAACTTCTTGATTAAAGCAGACAAGAAAAAATCACATTTTACTCAAAGTAACAAAATTCTTAACAAAAAAAACAAAAACAAAAAAACCCCAAAAAACAAGAGAACAAATATTTGGAGAGTTGAGTTAAAGAGAGATAACTGAGACTTCCGGAAGAAGCATGGCATGTGGAACTAGAAAAAGATGGACGAAATAAAGGCTTCAGTTCGAAATTTGAATCATCCGAAGAAGGCCGGAGCTTACAACTGCCGAAACGTCGTGAATATGGCAATAATGATGAAGATAACAGCCGGAAAAATGTAAATAATGTAAATAGCTCTTCCTATGTACTTTAGAAGAATTACAAAGTAAAAACCACAAGGAGCTACAGGCGCGAAAATGGATCAAGATTAAAAAAGGGGAAAATAAGATATCCAAATACTTATAGAGTTTGCGGCAAAAATAGCCCCACCCATTTATACTTCCCACATGAAAAGACATTTTTGGGAGGTGTATGTGGGATGTATTTCTGCAGCACCATATGCAATGGCGTTCAACATCCCTATAATCGCAACAATAATAAAAATTGGTTATACTATAAAAATGGTAGAAGAATTTATTCCAAAGCCGCCTAATTGTTACAAGTGCCAACTACATTGGCATTATCAGGAGGACTGTAATGGATGAAGTGTATCTTGAGAAAACCAAATTTAATCTTTTTATCGCAAGCAAGGCGGGAGTGCGGCTAGTACGCAAGGGGTTACAGAGAGAGTAAATAAGGGAAAGGACTGGATATAGGGGGATGGCGAAAAGGATAAAAAAGAAGAAGAGAGGAGGATAAAAAGAGGAACGGTGATCAACAAAAGATGTCGATTGACATTGCATTTCGATTTTTGAAGATTATAGTTATCAGGGAAGCAAGTAAGAGGAAAGGAGTTCCACTGTTGTGAAGTACGCGAGAAGAATCATTTGGAGTAGAAGAGACGGTTACATTTACCTGATTCGACAGTAAAAGTGTCGGACCGCGATGTCAAACTAGCAACACGCTTAAATTGATGCAGTCGGGCCACCAGTGAAAATAGCTCGTCATAGGAGATGCCATGAAAATAATTATAGAAAAGACAGAGGGAAGCCACATTACGTCGTTGAGAAAATGATTAGAGTTGAGATCCGAAGTCAGGACCGATCACACTGGATATCCGTCTTTGGATTTTATCGAGAAAATGCCGGGACACAGAACCTGACCACTCCAGAGATGAGTGTCAAAATTCATACAGATATACAAACCATGAATTCGAGCGCCCTACGAGGCTGGCATCCCGCTCTAACCCTTACACTGTAGAAACTTTTAAATGTAGCCGTCTCTTCTACTCCAATAGCTTCATACCTCGCACCTCTCGCCTGTGGAACACCCTTCCCAATTACTGTTTCCCTGAGAGCTATAATCTCCAACTATTCAAATGTAATGTCAATCGACATCTCCAGTTACCTTGATCTATCCACTATCCCTCTCCTCATCCTTTCTTCTATCACTCCTATCTGCTCTCGCTCCAAATCTTCTGCAACCCCCTGCAGTGGCTACACGCCTTGCTCGGGGCGTAATGCTTAAAAAAAATAGTAATGAAGATCACTTGGGATATGTTCAAGGCTCCAAGTTCACCAAGGAGAATTGTCTTACAGGATTAATAAGTTCGTTTGTGAATTTGGTGACATAGTAATTGTGAGTTCAATCCCTGGGCCCGGCAGTGCATACTTGGAATCTGTGAGAGAGCAACAACTGACCAGTACTAAAACTAATAACTAGACAAGATATCCTTATACGGAAGAAATGGAACAAGAACAGTCTACATCTGTAGATTAAATACAGAGTTCAGTTCAGAATTCTCTGTAGCTTACACAGATTGATTTACATCTGAGGAAAACCGGAGGACACAACGGCCGAAACGTTGTGATAACAACAATAAAGATGAGGACAATAGTTCGGTTATAAACAGTGTAAATAAAAAAGTAGTGTTGTCTCGAATCAAACTGTAAAACTACAACGGCAACCATGAGTATACATAAAATCAAACCTGATCAAGACAAATTCGAAGCATTTGAAGAAATGGACGTCGAGGCACAAATCCTTCAAACAATTTAAATATTCGAAGAAAGATAACACCAAAGAATAAAACATGATAAGGTAAACCAATGAAATATCAGAACTTTAATGAACTACTTCGAGTCATAGATACTTTTCAAATGCAATTATCCGCATGCAAAAGACATTCATCAAATCAGAAAAAAAATATAAATATAAAAGATTAATTGAGTTATTTTTACGGCTTGTCAAAACTGCAGTTTATTTGAAACCAAAATTATATTGTAACAATTTATTTTGAAGATAATAATTGTTTAGCGATAAAGGACCTACAAATTAACCATAGCTGCAGGGAGAAATGGTGTTATTTGAACATGAGTGAATATAATAAACACAACCGGAATTAGAACTCGGCTCTCTGATTAACAATTCTGATTCATTATCCAGTACATCACTTGCAAATCCAAACTTGCAACACCTGGTATTCCCCAGTGGTCACCTATCGAGGTACTGATCAGGCTCGACGATGATTATTTTCGCTGACCATATGGGAACGGGTGTTTTAATGCGATGTGGTCGTAATCCAAATATGGGTTATTACACTTATAAATATATTCATAGTAAGAACTTCAGACGGCAGGTCAATCATAGTAAAAATATAAAACCACAGAGAATTTAATAATATGACACCACAGGCAATTTATGTATAAGCAACCCTACATAAAGCCTTAACCATATATATATATACATATATATATATATATATATATATATATATATATATATATATATATATATATATATTGTGTGTATTTAGGCAGCATCTTTTCATTTATACACGTTTCATTAAATAATATAGACAACACTTGTCTATATTATTTAATGAAACGTATATATATATATATATATATATATATATATATATATATATATATATATATAAAAAAAAAAACATGTTAAAATCCCTACACAATTGCGATCGTGCTTCAACTTATGTCAGTGCGTCTGCTGAGATTGTAAATTATTAGCGAGTGAACTATTAATTTAATTTCAAAAGCAAAATAACTCATGTTTTTCGAGAAACAAATAAGCCTGAAGGCTTTATCGTGATCAACCAATTGAATATGACTTACGTTAAATTCAAACTAAGCGAAAAAGTAATTTTTTTTTTAGAAATGGGTCATGACAAGAATTTGTCTGCAAACAAATCTCAGACATTAAATTAAAAACTGGTGCAGATGGTTACGCTATTTCGTAAAGTGTATACAAGTCAGATAATCAACTTCCCAAGAAATAAAAGCGTCGGGAGGAGGGCGGTAATTCAACCTAATTCTAACTAGTTATACGCTTTGTGAGTTTCCTATATAAAATTGTAGTTGTTAAATATGTGTGTGCATGTATGTATGTGTGTGTGTGTATGAATGTATGTATCGGAGAGAGAGGTACGATGGAGTAATGGACTGCGGTTCGGACTAAGGAATCGGACGACAGAGTTCGAATTTCAGTTGTGCTCATTACATTCACTTACATGTTAATACACTTGGGAAAGTTATGAATCTATCTCTTCCCCCGCCACCTATAGTTAAATAGTGAAGCGCACTTTGTTATAGCAGTGAGTGGCAACCGGTGTATAACAAAAATAACTTTGAATTAAAATCTCTCTCTCTCTATACATATATATATATATTAAAGAGAGGTGCCGCAAACGTTTTTGGTTGTAATATGGATTTTTTGCAAAGAAAAACATTCCCATTACAAACACAAAAACAGAGAGTGTCTCATATCGAGAATATTTAACATTGAAAAACATAAGGAAAAAAAAAATATTTTTAATAATATGTGGAATTCTCCGCCTTTTACCTGAAGACGGTCACGAGACCAGAAACCCGTGTAGTAAAATTATGGAAAATAAAGCATAATATTTTTAAAAAAAATCCACATTACAACCAAAAACTTTTGCGGCACATCTCTTCTCTTCTTTTTAATATACACACTTTTCTCTCGTTGAAACCACCATAACCACTTTCTTTTATTTATATATATATATATATATATATATATATATATATATATATATATATATATATATATATATTAAGTTGCAAAAATAATGATGTAAGAATGTCGTTTTTGACCTTAAAAATACATCAAAAACGACATTATTACGTCATTATTTTTGCACCAACTCATATATATGACAAACTGGAAAAGTTTTATGTGATGCTTTTCATCCGTTAGGATTTTATCGGACTGGGCTTTGTCGACGTGGGCACGTCTATACATGCACACGAAACGAGAGACGCAGGAAGATTAAAAAAAATTGAAAGAATATTTTTAGAAAAATAATACAAACGATTTCGTTAAGAGTGAAAAAAATATTCCCTCAAAATATTCTTTCAAAAATCATGAACATATATATATATATATATATATATATATATATATATATATATATATATATATATATATATACAAAAACGATAGCTGAAGTAGAAATTGTTAATATAATTTGGCAGTTCCCAAAAATTTATATTAGTAGAGAATTTTAATAGACACAAAGATATATAGGGAAGTGAACACAAGGTGGTAAATTTATAAAAAAAACGAGATAGTGAAAATATACATCTATACAATAATGAAACACAAACATCAAACGGTCACATATTCGGCTATAGATTTAACCATATGTGATCCTACCGCATTCATCAAATGCAACTAGTGTATACACTATATAAAAACATTAACATTTTCCTATCTTATTGGAAAATTCAGGCACTAAAGGTGACGAAAAAACATCACGATGGAAACTAGAAAACGCTAACTGGGAAAGATTCAAAACAATGTCAAGACGAACGAACTCCAGAATAACAATGAGAACCACCTCGTCTAATAGAAAGACTTGCATCGATAGCTGAGAAAAACATACCAAAATATTTCATCTGAAATAAATTCTGCAAACCTTGGTTCAACAAAAATTGCTAAAATTCTATCAGCATTACATACAGCCCTTGGGAAATTCAAATTGAATCGCAGAAAAGAAAAATTAAAACTACTTGGAAAACAGTAGCGCCCAAGGAAGGGGAACAATAAAACCTCAGAGAAGATCAATATATCTAAAATAATTATAAGTACAAAAATCAAAACGGTATTGGGCATGACAAAATAAAAGAAAAAAAAATGGAATGTTGGGAAAATAGCACCCAGCTAAAACATTTTGATCAAAACACAAACAATCAGACCAAAACGTATAGCAAACTCCCGGGCGGATAAGTTTGCACAGAATTCCTCCCCCCAAAAAGCAAAACCAAAATTTACAATGTATCAAAGGGAAGAAAAGAAAAAAATCTTCCACTCAAAATCACGGAAAAATACAATCAACTGTATTCCTTAACCGAAATAAAAGAACCATTGCGCATAATACAACGTTTTGTCCTGACGAGATACATTATGAGTTTTTGAAGCAACTACCTGAAGTAACTCTCGAATATTTTTTGAAATACATAATGGCATATACGAAACAGAAAGCTGGTAAAATATTTCAGTATAGAAGAGTTAAACATTCTCACAAGCCCAACAAATCAAAATATATTTTTCTACTTACCAAGTCTATCACAACTACGACTGAAAACAATTTATCTATGCTTTACATAAAAATTGTTAACATTATTTCCAAATCAATAGGGAGCTTAATTACTACGAAACAAATTAATAAACTAAAAATTGAAGGGGGAATTTACTCTATAAACTGTCATAAGTGCCACAAGAAACACATAGGAGAAACATCGAGAAATGAAAATAAAAGATTATGAACACAAAAAAACTTTTATAAAACAATGCATTCAAAGTATTGATTGCTCACCGTAGCATCATATTGATTAAAAAAAATGCTAATTTAATTAAAAGAGAAAGCAATTTGCAATAAGGAAAATATATAGAATGTGCTTTAATCACCAAATCATCTACAGGAAATTTACGTCCTTGTTCTTACATCATTTAATCTTTCTTCATAACTCATTTATTATCAACATCATCATGATATCGGCGACACGATATATCCCAAAGCAATGAAAAATTTAAATTTAAAATTTCATTGTCTCCTCTCATCCATGCCCATGCGTACTTTTAAAAATCAATATCGTCCCAAACAAAGCAGTATAGCCACTAACAAGCAAGGGGTGGAGGAATTACGAACAGAAACATTACTAATAAGAAAGAGAAAAGAGAAATCAGGAGAACAGTAGGTAGCAATTGACATTGCATGTAAACTTTTAAAGATTAAAGTTGGCTGGATAGCCTGAAACTAGTTCCACGGACGAGAGATGCGAGAGAAGAAACTCTCACCATAGAACTTACGGCCACATCTAACCAGCTCAACTGTAAATTGATGAGATCTCGCTGCCAGTCTAGTATTGCGCTTAACTTCATGCAGTTTAGGTATAATTACTAAGTGCTCATCCGCACAATTACCATGAAATTATTTATAAAAATGGGCGGGAGATGCAACCTTACGACGTTTGTTTGCAAGTGACTGAAACCGAGCCGCTAGATCAGGACCAATGATATCGCTGATTGTTTTTTGATTTTATCAAGGGGCTCTAGGTAAACAACAGGGGGCACCGTATATGATAGCAATATTCTAATCATGGACGAATAGTATACTTATAGCTATGCAAGATGTATTCCGGAGAGAAAAATTGCCTCGCCCGGCACACGGAACAACTTTCTCAGCAGCTGGCCTAGTAATGGGATTCAATATAGTCTTTTCACTTCCGGTCAGGTGAGAACGTTAGTCGAAGAAGGCGCAACGACTTTCTTGGAGAGTAGCATCAGCCATGCTGAGAGAAAAGAGAGAGGGAGTCTCTCAGATGATTAATGGAGAGAAATTTAGTTTTGGTGGCTTTAAAATTGACATGCCATTTTTGCCCCAGGTAACGCCGGTCTTGAAGTCGTTTTGGACATCAGCTGTCATTTTGACCTTGTCAGACTAATCAGTTTACTAATGAGGCAGCAGTAAATGGTAGTGTCGTCAGCGGAGATGACAAGTTGAGAGCTGATGTCATCGGGAAATTCTTTAATGAAGATTACAAAAAGCGTAGGACCAAGGATGGAGCCCTGGGGCGCACAAGGATGTAGACGAGTGGCCGTTCAGGATAACATTCATTTCACGATTTGATAGGAACTACAGCTCAAATATGGGCCCAGAGATACTGTAGCGTTTCATCTTGTGAAGAATCTCTGAATGCCAGACCCTCTCAAAGGCTTTCGAAATGTCTAATTCTACAGTCCGGGCTTCACCGTTTTTCTCTTGAGCATGATAGACACTTTCTGCAATAATCGTTAGCACATCAGCAGTTGACGTGGAAAACACCAATGTCGTATTGCTTGTCTGAGAAAAGGCCCTGCGATGAGAGATGATGAATCGGTTCAGAAATGATTAGGACCGCTAAGAGCTTACCAAAAAGAGGTAGATGACTAATAGGCTGATAGTTGTTTGGGTCAGACGGTTCACCAGAGTTCTTGAAAACTGGAGCAACAGAAGATGATTTCCTGCAAGTAGGAAAGCAGGGGTCAGTGATGTTT